AATTAAATTAGAAAAATTAAAAAAATTATATTTATTAATTTTAAATTACATTAAAATCTTATTTTAGAGTATTACAATTAATGTAAAAAATATAATAATATGAATAGAAATTTGTATATTTATAATTGAATGATACATACATACCAATCATAATATAATATAAAATAATTTTTAAATAAAAACACATGGGAGCACAATCCAACTTGATACTGCTATTTTAGAAGAGAAAAAAATATATTAACTATTTAACTAAATAGTAGTTAATATAATTTATACTATTTTTTAATAATAATTACCATTAAAATAGTTATATTATTTTATTTTACTTATAAAATTAATTATTTTATCTTATTTTTTATTATTAATACATATTATTTTATTTTACTTTTAAATTATAATTAAAATTTACTTCTAAATTAAACAATGTAATAATGTTACGGACCGCACATCGTCTTATAGTTTAATAACCGAAACATATTTTCTTAAATCATATAGAAAGAAATTAAATAAAATAAATTAACTTTATTAATAATAAAAGAGTCGCAAAAGTGTTACATCTCTTAAATAAAAAATATATGTAATGCCTTGGCCTGGAAAATTGGTCTGGGATAAATTTTGTTAATTTAGAGATGTATAAAAAAATAGTTTATAAATTAATTTAATGAAATTTTTGTTATATTTAGAAAAAAAAAATAGATTAGAGATGAGATTGAAAATAATTTTGGGAAAAAAATTTGAAAATTTGAGTTCGGATGGTATTTTTAAGAAACATAAAAAATTAGGGTTAGAATGCAAATAAGAAAATTTGGCCACGTAGGACTGCCCAGTCAGCAATCTCGACTAATCGGAGCGCATCACGTGACAAGGCACGCTGACTCGGTGCCACACGGGAGGCCATGCTGGCGATCTGCGTACCCCACAATCGGACGGCCCAAAGGCGATCTTGCACGAGAGGACGGTCCAGATCCGTTTCTCCCTTAGTGCGATCGGACAGTCGAGATCAAATGCGATGAATGGTTCAGATATATTTCTTATTTAGGTGCGATCGAACGATCGAGATCAAATGTGATAAACAGTTCAGATTAACACGAGATAGATATATATATTTCGCATCACACTGAACCCAAACCCTAGCCGCCAGCCTTCCGCCGGAGAAGAAGAATTAGTTGCCAGAGAAGGGAACCAACCACCGACCGCTGTCGTACCGGAGCCACCTCCAACTGCCAAGAAAGGTAAAAGTTCTCCTACCTGCTCGTAATTCGATTCTGAGCATCCCTGTAGCCATATCAGAGCAAAACGAACGGCAGGTGAGCCGAAAACTGCAGGAAATCCCAATGAAGCTGCCGCGGGCAAAACTTGCAACCTCCTCCGATGAGCCCCTTCCCGCTTTCTGTTTTGTGCGATTTTTCTACCGTTGTGTTCACTGTTATGTTTTCTACAAGTTGGCCGAAGAAAAAATCCTAGCCAGAAAGGTCAGCCGAAGGAGCCGCCTCACCCGAAAAATTTCACTACTGGTAGGTTTTCATTTTTTCGGCTAACCCACCTGAAAAAGTTTACTTCCGGTAGGTTTCAGTTTTCTGATTTTTTCGGCTAACTGAGACTTCATAACGTATTTTTTCGCAAGGATATGTATAAAGGCGGCCAAAATCGGCTGAAAACGGTTATGCTGAGGTAAACCACCACCGCAGACGGTGGTGCCATCACCAGAGCACGACGATGCCACCACACAGAAATCCCGAAATTGACTTAAAGAGATTTTAACATCGATTTTGAGTTTTTGAGGTATTTTTAGGTACATAAAGCGTTTTTTAATCTCTGCAGGAAAATTCAGAAAACCTGAGGATTGCTAGTAGGCGCAGTAGAAAGTTTGGTATTTCAGACATTGATTCATGTAAGAATCCCTCATTTTATTCCCTGTTATGGAATTGAAACTTAATAATCAATAATATGGTGTTTTGTAAAATTTAAAAAACTCTAAAAATAATTACAAATCACTAATGGAGCCAGAACCGGTTAGTTATTTATTTGTCCTCTTTAACTGATTATTTAATTTTATAGCTTTAATACATGATAATATATTGGAATGGTTAAATGATTCAGTTGTGCTTCCTTGATGCATATATCGCTTGTCTTGCATAATTTATGGTTGATTTGTGAAATTTGAAATTAATATGCGAATGAGAAATTGCTTGGTTATGTGAATTAATGAATGGTTGTCTTACTGGATATCTTGGGAGATGGTGGGCGGACTGGGTACATAGGGAACTCTACCGTGAACGTTACTTCATACCGAATAAGGTATCTAATGATGGTGTTTTTAGTGTTCATACCGGGCGGGGTATGTGGACAACCCGATTCACCCTTATACCGGACGGGGTATCGAGGGATGGTATTTTTGGCGCCCACACTTGACGGGATATGGGGACAGCTGGTTAGTTGACAAGTTTAGATATTAGATTCACGTATAGTGAGACACCCCTATAGATCTCCAAAGATACTAGTAAGCAAAATAAAAAAAAGAAAAGTTAATGTTCTTGCTCACTTGAATATAAGATCATAATATTATTTGAGTTATTGTCTTTATAGGTCAATTTTGGAAATCTCGCAACAGTAAGTTACAATAAATGAGTTTTCTTATGATAAATTAATATACTTAAATTAAAAGCTACATTAGTTATTTTTATGATTTTTATCAACCTTCAGTTCTTGTATCGGTGAGTAGTGTGATATAATTATTATGGTAGTATAGCTCATATCCTCCCCTATTAACCATTTTAGATCAAGAAGACCAAGATCCAGAACTTGGTCAATAGAAGGGCTGTGAGTAGGTATCCCTTCCGGATCCTATCATGAGCTAGTGGAGGTTAATCTCCCTACAATATTTATTTATTATTTTTATATATTATTATGTTTTTTACTTTATGAACTGCTATGAAAGAAACATTTCTATTACCCTATTGGACATGCTAATTTATGTGTAAGGAATGTAAACATAACGTTTTTATATGCTTTCGCATTTAATTTATAACCTTGTTTCTATTTAAGTTTTGGGTATCTACAGTTGATATCAGAGTTGCGTTCTTCGAAATCATTCCTTACACAAAGACCTAAGGAAACACCAAAAAAATGAATTATTGCTTAATTATTCCTTGTGAAATGTAGGTACATATAGATGAAGAGAGGAAGATCCTCACTAAACCGAGCAGCCCGGGAGGGTTCGCTTCGAGATGATGTTGACCGACTATTTGAAATACTGAAGAGACTCATCGCTGCCCAGAAGGAAAGGAGGGAGCTACCTGACCTTCCTCCGCTACCACAATTTGAGCCTCCCATGCAGCGAGAGGATCCTGAACTACCTTAGAATAATCCTGCTCCTCCATAGTACCATCCGGCACCATAGTATAGTCTGGTGCCCCCACGGCATCATCCGATACAACCACAGTATAATCTGGTGCTTCCACTATATCATGCAGTACCACCACAGGATCATCCAGTCCCTCCCCAACACAATCCAGTCCCCCTTCCAAAAGACCCAGTTCCACCCGTGATGAACTCAAGCTACATTAAGAGGTATAAAAGACTAAAATTATCTACTTTTGCAGGAGCATCCTCATTTGAAGAGGCTGAATACTGGTTAGCTAAAACAAAGAAGGCTTTCATGACTCTTAGGATGGTTTCCGAATAGAGAGTTATACTTGCCACCTACATGCTGGTGGGAGAGGCAAGTTGCTTGTGGCAGCTCAAGTAGGCCACCCTGCTCGTTCCAGTTACTTGGGAACATTTCATAATGGCTTTCAATGCAGAGTACCTCCCAAAACATCTCCAATATTTGAGGAAAATAGAGTTTGCACACCTAATCTAGGGTGATATGACTGTGTCAGAGTATGTCCGAAGGTTCCTAGAGTTGGGCTGGTATTCCCCTGAGAGCATCATGGATGAAGGCAGAAAGGCAAGGAAGTTCGAGTGGGGCCTCCGTCATGAGATTAGATAGTAGCTATATGTGTTCGAGCTTAATACTTACTCAACTGTTCTGGCCAAGACATAACTAGTAGAGAAGAACCTTCGTATTTTTGTTCGAGTAGTGGGGAACCTCAACCCCCGATTTCACACCGCAAACCAGAACCCATTGCACCTATTCAACAAAACAAGAAACCTAGGCTAGTGACTCAGGTTCCTCCTCAGATTCTAGTAACAAAACGCAGTAGGATTTACCAGCACTGTGGCAAGGATTATAGGGACCGACCCTGTTATCACTTCAATAATACTTTTCATATATGTGGGAGTGCCCAGCAATATGCGATAGAGTGCTCTAGGAATCATAACCAGCCTAGACTTCCTATATAGGTCAGAACTTACAATCTTACTCAGTAAGATACAAAAGCCAACGCAGACATGATATAGGGTACGTACACTATTTGTAATCATCTTGCACATATTTTGATTGATATTGGTGTCTCACATACTTTTATACCAAACTTGAATGCATTACTTGAAAGACTTAATTATATTGTTTGTGTCTACTCCTGATAGTAGGACACTACTAGAGGATATTATATACAGAGCTTGTATCATGTATATAACAGATAGGAAATTGAATGCGGACCTAATAAAGATTGACACAAGGAACTTTGATGTAATATTAGTAATGAACTAGCTAACGACGTATTCTGCTACCATAGATTACTTTCACAAGAAACTTGTATTCAACCCTCCTAATGAAGAGTCATTTACAAATTAATAAAATTTTTAAACATTATTCCTTCATGACAATTTTTCGATTACAAAGTGCTTTAACTCAGCTATTTTCGCTAATTAGGCAAACCTAAAAAATAAATTTGTATTCAAGAGATTCTGGTAGTTTGAGAATTTTTGGATGTGTTTCTCGATGAACTACCCAGATTGCCAGTGGATAGAGAAGTTGAATTCACCATAGATCTTCAGTCAGACACCCAGCCTATCTCGATTGCCCCTTATCGCATGAGCCGCGTTCAGATGGAAGAGCTGAGGAAACAGATCAATGAATTGCAGGATAGTGGGTTCATTCGACATAGTGTGGCCCCTTGAGGTGCTGGAGTCACATTTGTAAGGAAGGGAATGAGACGTTAAGGTTATGTATTGACTACAGGGGACTGAACATGGTCACGATCAAGAACAAGTACCCCTCTCCATGATTAATGACCTTTTTGATCAGTTGCAGGGTGCCTAGGTCTTCTCCAAAATAGACTTGTGTTTAGGTTACCATCAGGTAAAGATCAAGGCATAGGACATTCCCAAAACAACTTTTCGAACTAGGTATGAACACTATGAGTTCCTGGTCATGCCATTTCGACTAACCAACGTACCAGCCATCTGTATGGATTTGATGAACAGGATTTTTAGATAATTCCTGGATCATTTCGTCATTATATTTATTGATGATATCCTGGTCTATTAAAAAAAAAGAGAGGAACATGTTTACCATCTGACTCAGGTTTTGCAGGTTCTTAGAGAAAAGAAATTGTATGCAAAGTTGACTAAGTGTGAGTTCTACCTCGAGCAGACTACCTTCCCAGGGCACATTATATTAAGGGATGAGATGTCAGTGAACCCCGAAGAAGTTGAGGTAGTGCTTAGTTGGGAGAAATTGACATCGATCAAAGAGATTCGTAGCTTTCTGGGAATAGCAGGTTATTACCGCAGGTTGTAGAAGGCTTTTCTAGCCTACCTACTCGTTTGACCCGGCTCACAAAGAAGAATGTCAAGTTTGAGTGGAACGAAAACTGTGAAAAAAACTTTTCAGAACTAAAGAAGCGGTTATCTACTGCACATGTGTTGGCCTTGCCGAGTGGGATATGTGGATACACAGTTTATAGTGATGCCTCCTACCTGGAGTTGGGCTGTGTTCTGATGCAGCATAGGAAGGTCATAGCCTATGGGTTCAGATAGTTGAAGAGTTATACGAAAAACTACCCCACCCACGACTTAGAACTTGCCGCAATTATCCACGCCTTGAAGACTTGGTGTTATTACTTGTATGAAGAGACTTTTCAGATCTATACTGACCATAAGAGCTTGAAACACATATTCACTCAAAAGGATCTCAACATGCGTCAGAGACGATTGATAGAACTCCTCAGGGACTATGATCGTAACATTTTGTATCATCCGAGCAAGAGCAATATGGTAGTCGATGCACTCAGCAGAAAAAGTAAAGGTATATTAGCTCACCTAATGGCTTCAGAATGCAGGATAATAGGAGCTGCACAATAGATACGACTTTAGGACCTAAAGAGAGTTACATGTTTGGCTTACTTAACTGTTCAACCTAAGTTGATCCAGAAAATAAAGAAAGCTCAATTCACCGATTCTACCCTAGTAACTATAAGGAAAGATGCATAATAGGGAGTAAATTTAGAAGTCCGAGTCTCTGCCGATGGGTTGCTCAGATTTCAAGACAAGGTGTGTGTTACATGTGACAGTGAGCTGAAAAGGGATATCATGATAAAGGTTCATAGCTCAAAGTTTGCCTTGCATCCCAGAAGCAGTAAAATGTATCAAAGTATGTGACCCCAGTTTTGGTGGAATGAGATGAAAAGAGAGGTAGCCGACTTTGTTTCCAAGTATCTAGTGTGTCAGCAGCTTAAGGCAGAACATTAGCGCCCAAACAGTCTACTTTAGCCATTACCGATTCCAGAATGAAAGTGAAGACATATTATAATGGATTTTGTGATAAGATTGCCTAGGGCACGCTCAGGACATGATGTCATTTGGGTAATGGTTGATTGGCTCACTAAGTCTTATCACTTATTGGCCATCAAGATGACTGACCCATTGGATAAGATAGCAAGAATGTATATCCGATAGATAGTCAGGTTACATGGAGTGCTAGTGATAGTAGTATCCGACAGGGACCCAAGATTCACTTTTTGATTATGGTCTAATTTTCAGCAAACCATGGAAATGAAACTATTTCTTAGTATCGCCTTCCACCCTTAGACCGATGAATTTTAGAAAGGACAATTCGTACACTGGAAGATTTGTTTTGAACTTGTGTTCTTGACTTTGGGGGCCATTGGAATGATCATTTACCATTAACAGAGTTCGCCTACAATAACTACTACCAAGTAAGTATCGGCATGGCTCTGTACGGGGCATTATATGACCACCCATACATATCACTAATATGTTGGGAAGAGATGAGTGATATGAAATTTTTCGGTCTAGATTTTGTGGAGGAGACCACAGCCAAAATAGTTAAGATCAAGAAGAACATCCAGACAGCTCAGAGTAGGCAGAAGAGTTATGCGGACACCCGGAGGTGGGATTTGGAATTTGAGAAAGGTGATCGAGTGTTCCTCAAGGTCATCCATTTCAAGAGAATCAACAGGTTTGGCAAGAGGAAAAAACTAAATCCTTGATTTATTCGACCATTTGAGATCTTAAACAGAAGTGTTACCGCCGCCTACAGACTGGCACTACCTCCAGAACTATTCAGAGTATATAATGTGTTTCATGTGTCTATGCTACATAAGTATAAGTCAGACCCCTCTCACATCTTGGCTCACGAGCTCCTTTTACTATAGGAGGATCTGTCCTATGAGGAAGTATCGGTGGACATTGTAGACCGAAAGAGAAGAGTATACCACAACCGAAAAATTTCCTTCGTTAAGGTCGTATGACAGAATAACACATAGAGAGAGGCCACATGAGAGCTAGAATTAGACTTCAGAGCCTAGTATCCCCAACTGTTTGATTAAGTGAGAGTGACAAATTTGAGGAACCAAATTTCTTTTAAGAGCAGGGAGAGTTGTAATACCCGGGTCCGAAAAATTGGTTTGGAAT